ATTCAACAGTGAATTTTGTTAAATTAATAAATATGTTTAGAATGCTGATGCGTAGTAAGCTATACAAAATAACGACACTTTTGACAGCTAGGAAAACAGCAGACTGAAATGTCGAAATGATCTGAACCCCCAAAATGACCCCGACATGAACTGAACGCTGGTCGGAGTGAGATAGATATACAGGCGTGTACCGAGATGCTCACAATTAGTTTGCCCATAGGTAGGGCTAATTCTGGCCGGCATCGCTTGCATATTAGTGTGGTATACATCCCTCCTGACCCACTTCGTTTACAAGTGGATACAAAAGCAGTTGCGGATGCTATTACCTCTGATGTGTCTGCTTCAAGCGGTGACCAGTTTTTGTTAGTTGGTGATTTTAACCTGCCATGTATCTCATGGAATAATAACTCCCCGAATTATGTTAGTTTAGGTTGTAGCAATGTAAAGGATGCCGCGATAAATTTAGTCGAAAGCTTAAGTTTACTAGGGTTTACTCAATATAATATGTTTAAAAATTACTATGGTAACACCCTAGACCTGATTTTCTCAACCTTACCTGTTATAGTAAATACTTGTACAGACTAGACATGGGCGTTTTTGGTTTTGAACGCAAACGGATATTTATCGGATTTCAGATTTCAAAATCGATTTTAAAATCCGTTTTTAGATATCCGATTTCAGATGTGCCGAACTTAGCCAATTCACTAGTTTGTGTTATGATTTGGTTTTATTAGCTAACGACAATCACAAACAATTAATTGTAGGAAGCAAGGATACTCGTAGATTTTCGTGATTTTCCTTCATGCTTTAAATCTAGGCTTAGGACTAGCAGAAAAGTTATGTTTACGGTTAAGAGTAAAACTTTTGCGGCGCATTTAAAAATCGGCTTTTATACAATGATTTCTTTTTACATATTTTTTTAGTATTTTTTTTTGTTTTTCTGTTTGTTTTTATTATTTTTCAAACCATTTACAAAATCAAACCTAATTACTTCAGGTTAGCGTCCAAAAATGTAAGTTGCTCGACTTTTGATGTTTTTAGACGACATATCTTTGCAGTGATAAATAATCCCGCCTCAGAGAAGAGCAATAGATTTCCGTAAACAGCAAATCGAAATCGGACTTCCGAGCACGAAATCTCACTTCCGAAAACGAAAGCACGAATTTCGAATCCGATTTACATTTGGATACTTGTGGTATTAGATCGCTAGCGTTTTGGTTCGGTTAGATTTCTGGAATCGGATTTTCTTGTTGAGAAATCGTTCGGTATCGATTTGTGTTTGAAATCGGATTTTGGATTCGTTTTGATATATCGGACGCATGCCTAGTACAGACATCCTGGTGCCAAATGACCGATCTCACCCTGCGTTACAGCTGGAACTTCTAGATATAAATATCCCCCAACTAACTGAAAATTTTGCACCCAAACGTAATTTCGGAAAAGCTAATTACACAACCATTAACAGGTTTTTTAATGAGTATGACTGGAACACTGTACTGCCGCGCGACGACCCGGACACAGCCGCAAATAAGTTACACGAAATTTTGAATGATTGTATAGATGGGCACGTGCCATCTTACAATGTTAACTGTGGGAAGGTTACCTATCCTATATGGTATAGCAAGCAATTGATTCGTATAAACAAAGAAAAAATGAAAGCACATTCTAGGTGGAAAAAACATAAAAGTCCTTTGGACTACGATGAATTTTCTCTTCTACGCAAAAGACAGCGGAAAATACAGCATGAGTGTTTTAATTCATACATACATATGACTGAGCAGGCCATAAAATCAACACCGAAAGCATTTTGGCGGTATGTAAAATCTATGCGTGGAGGGTCCAATTATCCGAACAAAGTAACCTATGGGCAGGACTATTTTAGTGGTGGTAAAGCAATATGCGATGCATTTAATACTTTTTTTCGTAGCGTTTTTGCGGAACCGTCATTAGGAGGTACTGTGTTACAACCGGATGATGTTAGTTCTGATACATTAGCTGATGTATGCATTACATCAACCGAAATTGAAGCTGCTCGGAGATTAAAATCGCATGTAGGTTCAAATGATTAAGTGACGCCAGCATGTCAGAATAATGAGCCGGAATACTTTGTGCGTTAATATGAATAACATTGAAATTTTTTGCAACATCAGAGAACTTATTTTCAAGGAAATCAGAAAGGGACGGGCAACTACTAAAACTGTTATCACTACCATTGCACTCATCAGATGATAATGAAAAATAAAGTTCATTGTCACTGTTAGAGCATGCATTGGACATAATAATAAATTTTATTAAATGTATATTTATACAAAATAAAATAAATACTTAAATAAACTAAATAGTGATAATAATACTATGAACAAACTGTTATCTAATTAGATTCGAACTCCACCTGCCGGTTGATAGAAGTTTAACTAAACACTATACTAAGACTTACAGAGAAAAGAAAAAAAAAACACAAAATAAATCATGTGAAACGAAACGCATCCACAGAAACACATTAAAATGTTAAAATCAAAAACAAGTTTTATGTTAAAAAAGTTAAAAGAATTATTAATAAAAACAACAATACATAAAAATTTGGCTGTATGGCCTGGCACTTTGCCTCAAACACATGACAATCATTTATACAGGGTGAAATAGAATGTTTCTATGAAACTTCGTGAGATTGTTGGGTTACGTGTATAGATAATGCCTGATTTTTTTCGGATTTTTTAAAATAAAATTTTTCGATTTTTAATTTTTTATTTGGTTATTTTTTTGTCATTTCTTCCTTATGAGTAATTATTCATTTTAAACATGTCTACATAGAAGTTATAAAGCAACTTAAAATAAGCACTACTAAAAAAACGGAAACTTAATGAATGCCTTCATTATGCCTCCAGTCGAGATCAGCGCCGGTCGGGGCGACGACCGGCGCGGCGGCCGCCTGTTTAGGTACCTATTACACGCACAGATGACTCGGCGCTTACCCACTCTCCGCTTTGATCCACACTATTTAAAAACATTACAATAAAATAGTCTTAGATGCTTTATTATAATTATTTATTCACTGATACACAATACCTTTGAATATTATTTCATAAAGCACAGGTAATTAATCAATAAAATAAATCTTCTGTTAGAGCAATTAAAAATCCTATAAAGTTAATATGACTGTCACGATTTTAAATCGGTAAAGCCTGTCTGTTAGTTAGTGTAAGAACTTCTTTTTTATTGTTAATGTTAGTTGCCTCGTTTAATTAAAACTTAAGCACAAACGGCTTATTTAAAATTGTGAAAAATCATACAGAGCAAATCGGTATAACTTACGAGCTTAGTGAAGGAAGGAACTCTTCGTGTCTGATTTGCCCACGTCATGAAATTCCCAAAACGTTTAATCACAGCCACAGTCACACACACACACACACACACACATACATAATAATATGTTGTTTTGCGGCAAGCACGGGCGGGCGGCGCGCCGCACGCTGGCAACTAGCGCCGGTTGCGGCGTCTTTGATGATGTGAATTCCGCCCACCTCCCCTCTTCCCCGCACGCGGTGGTTTGCTTTGATTGCATGCAAAACGCAGTCGCAAGTATATCAATCGCGCGTGAGCGTGCGCATCTTTTGACTTAGTGACATACACTGTGATAATTTCATTATGCCTCGGTATACGAACCAAGAATATTTAGAGATGGTGTACTGCTATCGCGAGTGTGACGAAGTAGGTTTGGTTTACGAATGAGTCCCCAAACCACAGAAGTTGCATTTTGTGCAGTCAGTAGTGATAGGGACACTTTAAAAAAGGTGAAAAGACACGTCCGCAAACATGCCTACCTTTGTTTGCAGCAAAATTGTGGTTTAGAGCAACAATTTTGCAGATAATAATTTAAGTCTCTTTTTATTGCTAGTGTAAATACTTTTTGATTAGAAACAACTAATTGTGTACTACCAGTGTGATTGATTTGATAAAAAGTTCTAGTGAAAAAAATGAATATGTTCCTCGTTCCTCGTTGTACCTACCTACATCGCCGGTCTCGTAAGTACTTTTGAATACCTGGTTATAAATTTCATTCTGACCCAAGTATTGAACTGCAATAAGTATTTCTTTTTGTTTAACATTTGCCTATTTCCAATCGTGACAAAATTATTATTAACTTTTAAAGTTTTTCTCTGCTTAAGAGAAGATGACATTTGTGCTTATTATTTCAATTTCAATAAAGGCATCTAAGCCGATTTTATTGTATTGTGTGGAATCAAACGAGTCAGCTGAGCTCTGTGTAGAGCTAGGTACCTACTCACTCAACGGCTGGCGGGCGCGGTCGGTCGTTGACCCGCGGTGGAATTTTAATGTTTTTCCGTTTTTTAGAAGTGCTTATTTATTAGTTGTTTTTCACTGGATATGTAAGTTTGTTTGCTTAAAATGAATAACTACTCAAAAGGAGGAAAGGACATAAAAATACACAAATTATAAATAAATACATGAAAAAAATATACTTCAAAAAAAGCCGAAAAAAAACAGGCATACTCTATACACATAACCCAACAAACTCACGAAGTTTCATAGAAACATTCAATTTCACCCTATATATAAATAAAAAAAAATAAAGAAGAATATCTGAAATTCATCAAACAATAAAATTATTTATTAAAATGAATTTTCTAATTCTAATAAATAAAAAAAATAAAAAAAGCTAAAGATGAGGCTGTATGGGCATTGATCCTTTTGCCATCCCTGAAAAGGGAGAACTACAAAAACAAAAAACAAAAAAAAAGGTAAAGTCATTTGATAATGACTTTTCCTTCTCTGCCTGACAACAATTATTTTGTTCAATTTATCCTAACAATGTACTTAGATTTGATAAAAAAAAGTCAGTGATTAAACGTGGGTAAACAAGATTAAAATGCAGTTCACAGCGACTAGATAAGATACCTGATGACTGTTTGTTGAAAGAAAAACAAAAGTACAAAGAAGAAAAGAAAACATACGTTTCGGTTTCAACGTCAGTAATAACAATGCTACACTGTTACTTCTTGGACACAGCAGCTGCCCGTTTACCTCTTGTCGCCACCGTGGGTTCCTTTGGTGTACCAGTATTTTGCCCAACCGGCACAGGATTTTTTACTGGATCAGCAGACTGCGTGACCGGCACAGGAATCTTGTCTAGTTCAACAGCCGAAGTAATGCGAACTCGCTTGCCGTCTGCACCAACAACTATTATTATTCCATGTTGAGTAAAACACCAGCCAATACCGAATTTTGCACGAGCTGCCATAAAAGCCTCATGTCGTGTCTTCGTAAGGAACTCCGAGATCGTAATGCCAGAACCCTTCATACTTTCTTGGCATACCAAGATGACTTGGCATTCCAAGAGACTTGGCATTCCCATACTAAATAGATGTACGAAACGAAATTCGAACTATTTCCTAAGATTCGTAAACACTAACTGGATTTGAGAAACTAAAAGAATTAATAATTAATGTTTACTTTCGTACATCTTTAATAAAGATACAGATGTGGTCCACCACTTTATTGTCTTGTACTTTATTAGACACCCATGATGCGCAAACGTAATAGAAATTTTGGGTAAGGACATCTAGCATCAAACAAGATTAAACCCAATTCCCATGGTATACTAAGGGTTCCCTACCCCCAAGTCAATCTACTACAAGTGACGATTTTGATGAACGCGACGCGACCAAATTGAAACGAAACGACGCGAATTGTAGAGGGTAGGGTGTCTTCATCATCTTCAAGGTGGATCATCGTCAGTATCGCTGACGTCTGCATGAGCGTTAGCCTGCTCTCTCGGGAAGTCCGCATCATGTAGTAGTACATAGAATAATCAAGAAAATATTAGTAAAATTCTTTACACCATTTTTCTTCAGTCGAGTAAATTTTCAAAGTATAACATTATTATTCATTTATTTATTTCTTAACCTTACAGGGAATCGAACCCGTTTCCTTTTTTGTAATAAGGGAATTTTCTTTATGGACCTATATTATCCTATTATACATTATTAACTATATATATTCTATCCTAATGCTAAATTAATCCTATTGGAATGTTGGGTTACGTATATAGACTATCTCTGAATTTTTTCGGATTTTTTAAAAAATGATTTAAAATAAAATTTTGTTTTTTTTTTGTTATATTTTAAGTTCATTCCTCCTTTTGGGTACTAAATAATTATTCTTTTAAAACATGCATACAGAGTAAGTAAAAAACAAGTAATAAGCACTACTAAAAAAGACGTAAAAACAGCAGACGGGCGGCCGGGAGCAATGACCGCTCCCGCCGTTGAATACCTTCCTGCCTACCTATCTAGGTATGCGCGGTGCACAGCGCAGTGAGCGAGCGGAGTCTCAAGCGCGCGTGCGTATCTTTTAAATTTGTGACAAGACAAGATTTGCAAATAATGCCTTGATTAGTTCTTCTTCTTCTGTGCCCTCAATATAAAAATTTGGATATGGTGTGTTGTTATTGCGAGTGTCACGGAATACTCAGCAGAGCCACAAGGCTTTACGAAAGTAGGTTTGGTGATTTATTGGGAAGTTATAGAGAAAAAAATTAATAGGTACATCGGTCTCGTAAGTACTTTTGAATACCTGGTAATAAATTTCATTCTGACCCAAGTATTGAACTGCAATAAGTATTTCTTTTTGTTTAACTTTTGCCTATTTCCAATCGTGACAAAATTATTATTAACTTTTTAAGTTTTTCTCTGCTTAAGAGCACATTTGTGCTTATTATTTCAATTTCAATAAAGGCATCTAAGACGATTTTATTGTATTGTGTGGAATCAAACGAGTCAGCTGAGCTCTGTGTACGTACCCACTCACTCAACGGCTGGCGGGCGCGGTCGGTCGTTGACCCGCGGTGGAATTTTACTGTTTTTCCGTTCTTTAGAAGTGCTTATTTATTAGTTGTTTTTCACTGGATATGTAAGCATGTTTCTTTAATATGAATAACTACTCAAAAGGAGGAGAGGACAAAAAAATACACAAATCATAAATAAATACATGAAAAAAAATACTTCAAAAAAATCCGAAAAAAATCAGGCATACTCTATACTCGTAACCCAATAATCTCACGAAGTTTCATTAAAACATTCAATTTCACCCTATATAATTCTTCTGTGAGTGTGTATGTCACTGAACTTCTCTTAAACGACTGGACCGATTTTGATGAAATTTTTTGTGTGTTCAAGGGGATCTAAGAATGGTTTAGATTCACAAAGACGTGTAGACAGGACAACGTCTGTCGGGTCCGCTAGTTACTCTATATTATCGTAGCCTAAATGGTTTTATTCTATTTGCATGTACAATCCTTATTCTTGAATTCCTCAATCTTTTGATAGCATAATTATTATTACCAAGCGGTAGTATTATCTGATATGGGCCTTTGTATGGACGACCTAATTTCTTACTAAGACCTGACCTTCTTTTAGGACAATATAGTAATATTAATTGCCTAGGTTGATAAGTAATTAACCTAGCTTTTCGATCATATAATCTTTTCTGAGTGAGACGTGCTTTTATGAGATTTTCTTTTACTTTTCTTATTCGATTTTCATTCTCAAGCCTCCTACTTCTCCTATCGGATACGTTCCATTCTAACCTATTATCAGATAACATTACCGGCTCTCTTGCAAAGATTATTGAATATGGTGAAAACTTGGTTGAGGACTGTTTGGAACAATTATAAGCATGAGTTACTAAAGGAACTTAAACACACCAATCAGTCTGCGTAACATTTACATACTTTGATAGCATATGTGAAAGAGTCTGATTAAACCTTTCTACTAATCCTACTGTTTGTGGATGCATAGTGGTTGCAAATTTCTGGTTTGTACCAAAACGACTTATCGTCTCTCTTACTAATCTTGAAGTGAAAATGGATCCTCTATCTGATATAATCGTATTCACCGATCCGAATTTGCAGAATACTTCGTGGATAAGGAAGTTACATATCGCTCGTGCCGTGGCCCTTCGAACGGCCTTACATATTGCATACTTTGATAAAGCCTCCACACAAGTAATGATATACTTTTTACCAGATATAGATCGATTTAACGGCCCTATTATATCTAACTCTATTATTTCAAATAAATTATTGACTGTAAGGGTGCCACCACATGACTTTTCTTTCTCTCCTGACACTTAACACACGTTTTTACATAACGTTCTATCTCTAATTCCGCATTCAGCATGAAATATCTTGAACGAAAGGAGGACGGGCATTTTGGTATCCAATTGGTGTTTGGTATCAATAGCGATGAGTGATATATCATTGAATACCTCTTTTCATGTAGAATATTAGTTACTACTAGTGGCCCGCCCTTGCTTCGCTTCGGTGTAGAGCTGTAGTGTAAACTATAGTTTTTGTTCTCAGACTTGTGCTATAAACAATGACTTTATTTATATAATTACACGTGTTATTGTGAGTCAACCATAAAAGATAGACATATGCTATTGCGGGATATTTTTTAGACAAATTTATGTAGAATATTTTCGTCATACATGATTTCTATGTAACGTTAACCATTAAGGCTGCACACGCGACGAAAGCTTAAAAAATGGAGTAACTTCTCCCGTTTTCCCAACATTTCCCTTCACTGCTCTGCTGCTATTGATTGTAGCGTGATGAAAAGTATACTATAACCTGCCCAGGAGTATGAAGAATAATTGTACCAAGTTTCGTTAAAATCCGTCGAGTAGTTTTTGTTTCTATAAGGAACATACACACAGACAGACAGACGGACAAAAAAATTACTGATTGCATTTTTGGCATCAGTATCGATCACTAATCACCCCCTGATAATTATTTTGAAAATATATTTCATGTGCAGAATTGACCTCTCTACAGATTTATTATAAGTATAGATGACGGCATTCTGATATTTTTTGTCCGTTTTTATTTTTTCCAGAAAATACCAGAACCATTTTTGCCGGAACCGTTATTACCATTATTACTACATTATCCTGACATGAAGAGTCATCTGAAGTTAGTGATTAGTATTAAAGAATTTGGAATCGGTAGTCCAACATCCTGGGGTGGGCACAAGACCGTCCTGGAGTGGGCACGGCCCACTCGCCCCCCCCCCCCCCGCCCCCCCTCTATATACACCTATGTTTACCGTTCAAGATAACAAGCTAGTTATTGTTTTTTTTATTATGTTTTTTTACCTTTTTCTTTTATTAACGTTCTCGTTAAAGATAAACATTAAATAGTTCTCAGGAGGTTGTATTGTTACTAAGTCGGAAGGCCACTGGTATCTGCAATACTTTTTTTTTAAACTATTGCAGATATCAACGCTCTAACCTAATGCCTATTGTTAATACTTACAACACTGCTAAAACAATGTAAATACTAAAATGTATAACAATTTAAAAAGGAAAAACTTTTTTTATTATTTATTATATAACTCTGTTTCGACAACGTATCAGGGCAAGCGCCATAGTAGACATTATTGTATTCAAGTAGACCTTTCAAATGATATGTAAAACATCTCTATTGGAACGGATACCAAGTTCCATAGATTTTTGCCCATCATCCTTTACTTAAAGTTTTCGTTAAACCTAAATGACCACCAGTATATGGATCATCATGAATTTCAGACATTACTTCCGTAAATAAAGTCCTAGGTAACACTATAAGTTCTTTATTTAATCCTCGCACATTCATACACTTGTAAACCATATTATTTATTAACACAAAACCTTTATGTCTTCCTCTTGGACTGTCGATTATAATCTGCCTATTACGTCGACAGAATTCGTCGTTCTCTTGTTCCTGTCTTATGCGCACCACTTCGATTCTATATAAATGCAATCCGTTTTCTGTGTCTTCGTTCAATGTGCCTTCGCTCGTTTTCGTTGTATCTTCCGATTCGTTCCTATCCTCCAACGGATTCCTACTGAGGAAGTCGGCGATCACGTTTTCTTTGCCGGAACAGTGTACGATTTCGAATTCGTGGGGTTGAATGGCTAAGGTCCACCTAGCTAATCGTCCATTCATGTCTCTGCGTTCTTTCAACCAACATAAGGCCCGATGATCAGTTACTACTTGAAACTTTAATCCTCACAAATAGTAACGGAAATATTTTAATGCCCATACTACCGCTAGACACTCTTTTTCCGTTATTGAATATTTTTTGTCACATTCACTTAATTTTCT